ACCTATTTAATAGGATTTCTTTTTTATGCCCATTCGAATTTTAATATTCATGGAGTCATTTAAGATTGTTTTTTTTTAGGAAAGGTCTTTGAATGCTTTAATGAAACAATCTTAAATCATTCCCTGAATAAAAGGAATGAGAATATTTTTATTGTATAAGTGTCAGGATTAATGAAAGTTATTTTTGGATTTCGAACAAAAGACCTTGAAACGTCCAACCCAGTCTTCTCATTTGAAACTGTGATAAATAATAAAAAAAAAAAAAAACAAGGTTTTTTCGCAAATTGCAATAAATAGTAAAGTGAGAAGTCGGCTGTTTTTTCAATATTGAGGCAAAAAGAAGTGGAAGGCAGATCAGCGTGGGGTCTGCTTGCGGTGAAAGGAAAACAGACAATATACATTAGAATGTAATATTGATGGACTACATTTTTGGAGGTTCACTCGAGACTTTGTTTCACATTAGAGCCACGTTTGGTTTCGGATAAATAAATAACGTTGTCTATGAAGTGTAGAAAAGAACGCCGTTTATTGAAGGGCACGCATTCTAGAAGAATGGTTAAAATTCTCGAAGTGTAATTAATAAAAACTAGAAATCCATTCTGTCATATGTGATGGGTCAGTGGTTATAGCATGGGTCATCACGGCTTGGAAAGAAAGGACAGATAAAAAATGAACTAAAACCACAATAAGTAAAACATTAAGAAAATACCACGTTTTCTTGCCAATGCCAAAGGGTAAAGTGTAATAGGTTTTGTGATTTATGTAGGGATTAGATATTATTTTAAGAACAAATTTTATCCAAACTAGATATAAAGGGTGTTCCGATTTTAAATGTGAATTAAGTTTAAGCGTCTAATGATTTTTTTTCTTTTTCTTTCATATTTAACAATTTAAGTCTTTGGCAATTTCAACCATGGTAAGATTAGCAATCAAACAACGTGTTATAGTTTCAAGAGTACAATTGGAAAAATTGTTCGGAAATTCAAACAAACTGGGTCGGTGTTAGATGTGAAAATACCATTGCGTGCTCGTTTACGCCGTTCAGCTGAAAACATTGCTGTAGTGTATTAGAATGTGGATGAAAATCCGTCATCGCGTGCAGCAATTGAACATCTCCACAACAAAGTTACATCGTTTCCAATTGCAATATCGCTTGGTCGATTATGTTGACCAAAAAAAAAAAAAATCGCACGAAATGCATTTCGGTTTGAATGTCCATTTTCGTAATAGGCTTCGATAACTTTAACACGTTCTTTGATTGTTAATCTTTTCATAGTTAAAATTAACAAAGACTTAAGTTGTTAAATCTGAAAAAAAAAAAAAAAAAAATAGAAAGAAAAATTAATTCACATTTAAAATCGGTCCAAACACCTTTTTTAATAGAAAAAGTACTCGACCTTCTGCTTTTGTATGTCATGTTCTTTCAGGACAGAAGTGACCATGGCTCTCCACAGCTTCTTGTCTTGGTTACTCTAACATTTTGCCGTTACTCTTTGCCTATGTTTTGCCATTCATTCACTCAAATACATTTAGTAGTTTACTTAATGTTTCACTTTGCTTCTCTTGCTTTCAGTATGTCCTCAGAGTGTTAAATTCTCCAGGCCCACATTTCTCATTGGGTATCTATTTTTTCTTATTGTAAATATCATTTTCATGGATGTTCCTATTTTCCTTAAGATTTCTTTGTTGTTCACATGTTCTGTGAATGATATTCTCAATAGTCATTCGTACAATCACATTTCTGTCGTTTCAATGATCTGCTGGTGATATAATAGATAGCGCCTCTGAATTAGAAATCGGAGAGCACAGTTCGAATTTCAGTCAGGTTCATTGCATTCACTTTTTCGCAAATAACCTTGTGAATGTTTATAGTAGGACTTGTATCTGGAAAAATCATGCTTATTCACAAAAAACAATTGTTAATGCAATATGCAATATTAAAAACTAATTATTCTTACAATCCAAAATATGTTTCGACTTCAAATTACCAAAATCAAAGTGTCGATAAGCAGTAAAAAATTCAATATAACGTTCTCAGCTGACATGAAATGGAAAGACTATATTGAATCCATTGCAAGGTCAGCTGCTAAGAAAGTTGATTTACTGTCGTGCGAAACAATTTTTATCTCCAGAATCTATCTTACATATCTATAAGTCTACTATTTCCCCATGCTTAGAATATTGCTGCCACATATGATTCAGTGCTCCTGCTACTTACCTTGAGCTCCTTGATAAAATCTAAAGAAGAATCAGGAATATTATTGGTCCTGATCTAGCATCTCGGCTTCAGTCACTTTCCTATCACCGTAAGGTTGCCTCCCTATATTTTTTTCTAAAAATACTTTCGTCGTAAGTGTTCAGATGAGCTCTTCACTATGGCACCTAGACTTTTTTTTTAATTCAAGCGCAGTACTAGACTGGTAACTAGGTCTCATCCATTTACAGTTGACGAGGTGTAGTCGTAAGTTCTATGATGACAGTTTCTTTTCTCGCTAGAGGAGCTCTCTTCCAGCTCCATGCTTTCTTGCCAACTTTAATCTTCAAAGATATAAATGCAATGTCAATCGCTATCTGCTGTCCTTCTGATTGCTCTTCTTTTGATTTCGTTCCTTAGTAATGTTTCTGTTTTCTAATTCTTCCACGCCCAGTAAACCCCCTTGTGTCTTAGTGGCTTTACTGCCTTACTTGGGGTGAATTCGATTAAAAATAGTCAATTGCCCCACATTCACCGCTATAAAGAAGAATTAATACTACAGAGCATTTCAACATTTTTTTTTTTTAACGACGTTTTCCTATCTCTTAATAGTTTTTAGTTTTTGAAAAGCATCTTACTCTATTTAAATGCGTTTTCGGATTTCTATGTCACACTTGCCATCATTTATTAATACACTACCACCCAGATTAAATTCTTCTACCACTTTGATTTTAACGCCTTCTCCCCATACGTAGCCCACACATTATGCAGTCTCTTTTGCTAACAACCATGCCTTATATCTTCATACAGCTGATAGTCTTTTTCATTCTTTTTACTGCCTTTTACAAAGATTCATAAATACCTAAAATAAATACAATCATAGGAATAGTCTGCTTAAACTGATTTTAAAAGACACCGACAAGCTTCACTTGGTCCAGGAATTTTGATTCAATCGGAAATTTTGCATCCAGGCTATAATGTAATTATCTGCAAATTAGAAGATAATTGCATTTAAAAATTATCAATTATATAATAATTTTTTACAGCAATTTTGTATACTTCCCTTGAATTACTTCCTCTGGGCCATGAATTTAAATATGTAAAACAGGGTATTTGTAATATATTTATGATAAAGTCTACTTCAACTCTATACTTCTAACGTCTCCGCCTAAACTCTGAAATTTTTATTTATTCATTTTTTTCTCCTCGGTAGAAGTCGACAGGTTCGCCTATCACCAGTTCACTCTTCTCCACGGTCTTTTGAACTGGAGTAGAGGTGTATCCTTTGATTGTTGTTTAGGAATGGGTTTCCGGTTACTTTTTAAGTCCTTTCATTGTATCTCATTCCCAAAAGCCTCTTTGCGTCTTAGTGACATTATCAACTTGCTTGGGGTGAATTAATTTTTAAAAAATTAAAAAAAATATTTGCTCTCTCATATTTTTTTGTTTATACTGTGTCCATTCAAGACGTAGGTGATCATGGCTCTTCACAAATCCCTTTTTTCTTTATTAACTATGAACTAAGCAATATTAAAAAAGTATACTGGTTTCACGTCGCCTTCACCACAGTCTTGAATTTAGAATTCTCTTAAATTGGTTGCCAACTAAGACTAAAGAGCCTGGTCTACTCCGCTGGAGGAACAGGAGATGGATTCATGCCTTTCCCATGGTTATTAGTGCGAAAGTGAATACAACAGATTAGCCGGGAATTTGAACTCGGCTCGCCGATATCCGTGACACTACCCGCACATATTACCAACTCACGTAAGCAGTTAATAAAATAGTTCCATAGCCTGTGACCTTCATCTTAAAATGATGTTCCCTATGGCAAATGTCAACATCCTGGGCGTAGATATAAGACCTTGCAACTTCAAATATATGTATATATCTTCATATAGATACAAATTAAAGATCACAGTGACTTTTTTTTTTAGCTAGACGTTGAATTATGAGTAGAAAAGCAATTTGCTTATTTATAAATGCTGGAAAATTTTGCACACACCAATAAATTAACGAGTTTTATTAATTAAATAAGTTGAAGGCAATGATGAGAATTTAAAATTTTAGCTGTTTATTTTATTAATGTCAACTGTAAGAAAACTGAATATCAGGTCGTTAACATAAGGGAACCATCCAAGACACGAGCTACAAATTGGAGACGTAAGATTTAAATAAATACAGAATTTAACTCATTGGTAAGTGCAACGAAAGACGACAAAATGCTTGACACAAAAATCTAAAGTTGTATAGATATAGCGTAAGATGTATTTAGAAAATTAAGCAAAGTATTAAAAAATGATTTTTCCTTCGGAACAATACTGAACTGCTATCTAATATGAATCCTCTTTTATGACAGTGACTGCTGAACAAATCCTTCACGGATGAAGAGGAGACGAGACAACAGAAATGTGGTTCTACAGAAGGATGCTGAGAATACCACTGAAGGATCGCGTAAGTGAACAAGAAATCAAACGGAAAATAGAAACACAAATGACGCTTATACTTAGAATCAGAAAGAGACAGTTGAAATTTCTGGCTCACATAATGAGGAAAAAAGGCTTATCGAATTTGACACTCACAAGAGGTACTGAAGCAGAGAAAACACAGCAAGTAAACTACCTAACAAGCTTATGTATATGAATGGCAAAACAAGGGTTACAAAGGATAGGAAGTTGTGGAGAGGCATGATCACTGGCGTTCTAAAGAGCACAGCACATAAAAGATTATTTACATAATTACGAAAGTTGTAAATGATAAGCAAATGACATGCAAATTTATGCATGTGATATTTGTATATATATAGTTTACGACTATATAACGTTTCAACACCCGTTTCCGTATGATCACCGAAGTTAAGCAACGCCAAGACTGGCCAGTACCTAGATGGCTTACCGCTTGGGAATACCAGGTGCTGTAAGCTTGGATGATGCAATCGATAATGGCTTGGAATTGTTAATTGGTGAGCTGAGTTCCAATTCCCGTTAGGTTCCTTAGATTCACTTACGCGCAAATACCCTTGGGGGAGGTATGAACCAATCTCTTCTCACCCCAGTGATAGGTTAATTAGTAAGACTTGTATGACTAAACTATTATTATCTCCAAAAAAAAATTCTTCACCTAAAAATATTTTCTGGCTTTAAATAACCTGAAAAGGGTTGATAAGCCGTACAAAACGAATCAATTAGTCATGATATTTTTATATATAAGCAAAGAGAATAAAGTGTCACAATCATTTGTTTCTGAACAGCGAAACACCCATTTTCCATATGTATATACGGAGAAGTCACAAATGTAACATAATTTTACCGTGTGAGAATTCAAATGACTGAAACAACAGATAAAAAAAATTGCAATACTGTCGTAAGTAGGACAAAGTTTAATGCTGTCCACGTTATCAACATCAAGAAAATGTGACCGAAAAGGTTTAATAACACTGATGAATTTAATATTTATTTTAGTATGAATTAAGAAAACAACTGAAAATTAAATATTTCGAAGCGTTAGTAAGTCGATTAAAATAAACTTGTAACTTGGAAGAAGACCAAACGATTTTTATCTTCAAATTAGATTACAACTGTGTTTATACTCTATTACTAATCTCTACTACAATATTATATACTAAAGAAAAAATAAGTTATTTCCTTAGAACCATGAAACGAAATATAAAACTAAATAGTTTTCCCCACAAACAAAACGCTGCAATTTCGCTATTTCCACAGAAAATATTCAAACAAGGAACATTTCTTAGTTTCACCAGTTCAGACCTTTACTACGTTCACATGGTCGAATCATGCATATGAGCTTCGTATATCATTGGTAAAAAGGAAGTTTCACTCGGACAGCTTCTTCCCGAGAATCGCTACTTTATGGAACAGGCTCCTGAGAGGATGCTTTCTCGACCATAGAATGGGCTTTGTTGATGTTGTCATGCGCATGTGTAGAGATCTAATGGATCAAACGAGTCAAAAGAACTTTTTTCCAATTTGTCATACTATTTTTTACATACTCTTTGTTGATATATAAAATTATACAAAATTATATATATATATATATATATATATATATATATATATATATATATATATATATATATACTCGCCAGTAGTTTAACATCGCCTTTATTGTAATTGTGTAGCAATTTTAAATAACCTAAAATAAATAATATTTACCTCTACTATGCATTGAACCCTCTTTTAAATTAAATGTTGCGTACAGTGGAACCATACTCCATTTGTTCTCATTTTTTTTATATATATATATATATATATATATATATATATATATATATTTTCATAATTTTCATGATATATACCAGTATAAAAAGTCGTTTAGGTAAAATTGTTGTTAAATCGGCGATGGGAACAAAATCTTTTAGTTTTAAAGAATACTGATGTTATTGTTTTTATCTGATCCTCTCATAAAATGTTTTTTATGTTACATACACTTTTATTTTCTGTTCTTTTGAACATATTTTTTGGAATAAAACCTATAAACTTTTCCAGCATATATGACTTAAAAGTTTGTTTTTTAAAAAAAAAAAAAAAAAAATAGAAGGAAGATGAAATTTGTTTAATTTTGAAAATTAATGACAATAATGATTTCGGAAGAATGATACAGCTCGATGGCATTGTTATAGATTGAGGCCAAAAAACAACATCTTTTGTTACAGCAAAAAGTGAGGAGACTCACTTTCTCCATATCTTATTATAAACTATTAATGCTTGCAACGCCATGTCAGCACCGACAAGCGTACAAAATTTGTCATTTACAAGCAACAATTTGAAACAAAGATAAAACCTGGTTTAACCAAATCCAAAAAAAGATTTATTCAAAAATGACAGTATGTATTGACTGTGCATGACACGGTTGTGTACGGCATTAGTGTTTGAGTATATAAGTAAAAGTGGTTTTCACAATTGTGCACAAGGTGAAGAGTTCGAAATGTCTTTTCCTTAATTACATTTGCAAGTTAGAAAGTAGAAAGAAAAGTGTCAGTGAAACAGTACTTAACTTGTGTCGCTAATATGGTGTGTTCCCAGTTTTTGACCTGGTTACCGCGGCGATGTAATGAATCAGTGAGTTCGTTCTTTGGCTGCGGTCATTAAAGAAATGGAAAAAGGAATGAGTGACTGTTTTCTTTTCATCTACCGACATGAAGTTCAGTAGCTGTCGAATTTCTCCTTCCTGAACTGAAAATTTCTGCGGTATTTATATGTTTACGACGGGTGTAGATGACGTAGTGTTCGAACGTAGTTGTAAGCTAAAATTCGCACCTTCTCGCAGCGAGAAAAATAAGTGGAGGAAAAAACGTATTTTCCGACCAATCGTTTTTTAGGTCCGCGACAAGAGCCATGGGAGCAGACACACACAAAAACGTAACGAAATGTAGTCTGAAAAAAGTTTGCCACTTTGTCTAATTTATTAAACTTCTTCGGATTTTTATTCTACTAATGAACACACACGCGCGCTCTCACATTTAAACATACATATACATATTAAATTCATCTTCTTTTTTATACTGATGTTATATATATATATATATATATATATATATATATATATATATATATATATATATATATAGAAAGAGATACTGACATTATATATATATGTGTGTGTGTGTGTGCGTGTAGAAAGAGAGAGACATAAGCGTATCTTCCAGGCACCGTGCAGTGTTGATTTCTATGACCACACTGTTTATACCTATATATTTGGGGCCATTCAAATACACACACACACACACACACACACACACACACACACACACATATATATATATATATATATATATATATATATATATATATATATATATATATATTGCATGCACAGAGCTGCATCGAAACTGGACTGAATTGAGATCAGACAGAGACTCTTACACCCTAGGCGAACGGCGCATTATATATGTGCTAAATAAACGCCATACCGGCCGCCATAGAGAAAGGCATTAAAGCAGCATCAACTATATATATATATATATATATATATATATATATATATATATATATATAAAAATTATAACATAAGCATGTTATAACATCACTACAAAAATAGCCATTTTGTTTCAGAACTTCTAATGTCTTGTCAAGTGACGGCGTTGATTGCAATCAAAAGTTGAAACAAAATATCTATTTTTGTAGTGATGTTATAACATGCTAATGTTATAATTTTTGAATACATATTATTTTCTCTAGCTGATACTGAGCACATTTTAAAAAATAGAGCTTTTGTTTATCGGAATCTTATTCCATATTTCCCACCCTGTATTCGTGTTTGTATATATATATATATATATATATATATATATATACTGAAGTGTTACATTAAAACATGTACATACCCACAAACACACAAATATATTAAATTCAACTTCTTTTTTATACTGATGTTATATATATGAAGAGAGATACTGATATATATATATATATATATATATATATATAGAGAGAGAGAGAGAGAGAGAGAGAAAGAGGGGAGAGAGAAAGGGTGACATAAGCGGATGTTCGAATGTAACAATGCATAACAAATATTTATTGCTCTGCTCTTGTATTGAGCCCTGTTGTAAATTAATATTACCCTTCCTTCTTTTACATTTGTATATATATATATATATATATATATATATATATATATATATATATATATATATATATATATTAAATTAACTGATTTAAAATATATACAGTAGCAGCCATAATATAAGGAACGGAAACAACAAAGACATAATTATGTGCATTACTTAAAAGTAATGCATGATTAACAATGAACTTTTTACTACTTTTGTCCAGTAGCTTATTTCGTTTTTTCCATTTAATCTTTATTTAAAAAAACAAAAAACAAACTATTATGTAAATTTTTGTAACTTTGTATAATATTTGTGCATTACACCCTAATCTTTATTCGGTAAAAATTTCATTGCTTATCAATATAGTGGTCATATATATATATATATATATATATATATATATATATATATATATATATATATATATATCCCCAAGAGGAGAGAATCCAGGTAGAATTCAATGTCCAGGACAGAGTAAGACATATATATATATATATATATATATATATATATATATAATTTGGAGCATGATTTTAAGATTTTAATGATTAAAATCAAAAATACAATTACGACTAAGGCGCCTTAAGATTACTCGTAATTGTATTTTTAATTTAATCATTAAAATCAGTTTTATTTATTATAAATATATATATATATATATATATATATATATATATATATAATATCAAACACTAATATTCTATATTGGAGTATTAGTGCTTGAGACTTTTATATTATATTCGTAATCTGTCCTGGACATTGAGTTCTACCTGAATTCTGTCCTCTTGGGAATTTATATATATATATATATTTCTATTTCATTAATTATATATATATATATATATATATATATATATATATATATATATATATATATATATATATATATATATATATGTGTGTGTGTGTGTGTGTGTGTGTGCGTGTGTATTTATGTGTGTGTGTATATGCATATTGACCACTAATATTATCGATATATATATATATAATGAAATAGAAATTTTGGCGTATTATTGTATTACCGTTAATGTTAGCATCGGTTTATAAGATGCGACATTGTTTTTGGGAGATATTTGTTTTAAAAATGCGTCTTATATGCCGAGAGATAAAATATAAACTGACATTTGAGACGCGTAAATACGTTAATCATTCTATAATTATAATTTATTTAATTCTTTCCCAGTTCTGTACAAATATCAAGCGACGTTTCAATCTCACTTGCTCGGCATCTGTTTAGCTTCTTTCTTTACTCTTTTCCTCTCACAAATTTTGTATGCCCATCTCTTTATATTCACTGATCTAAACAGCACTGTTTAGGCGTGAACGTTTTTATTGCACTTCTAAGCTTCCTTC